TGTGTGTGTGTGTGTGTGTGTGTGTGTGTGTGTGTGTGTGTGTGTGTACTGTATGCTCAGGAGAACAAGGAGGCCAAACAAAGGTGCAAGATCTCCTGGGCCTGGAGTTGCATGCCCAGTGAGCTGCCCAGTGTGGGTGCTGGAACCTCAATTCCAGTTGCTGGAAGAGCAGCAAGTGCTCTAAACCTCTCAGCCATCTCTTCAGCCACAGAATGAGTTATTCTTATTTATCAGAAAATTCTAGAACTCCCTAAATACGGTCATCTGTGCTCATGTTATGGTTGTGTTTTCTCTCTGACAGGAAGGCATCTCGGGGGCAATTAATCAGTTCCAAAACACTGTGTTGTCAGTGCCTAACCTGGTGCCCGACACATACTTTGACGCTTTCACCAGCCCGCTCATCAACAAGAAGCTTGAAGAGAAGACCTGCGGCCCAGGGCCGAGCCTGTCATCCGTGCTGGAGGACGACAGGAATTTCCTCACCATCATCCTGCAAGTCAAGGTGGGTTTACCTCCACTGTAAAGGACACAGACAAGGGCTGTCTCACCGCTGGGTGTTCTGTTTGTGGGAACTGACAGCTCCCTAATCTCTAAACAGTAAAATCGGAAAATAATGTGGAGACCCTGACAGCCGGCCTGCTGGAGCCATTTAGATGCCTCAGCGGGCAGGTGCTGGCTGTCAACCCCGATGACCTGAGGTTAATCCCAGGAAGCCATATGATGGAAGGAGAGAACTGATTCCTGCCAGTAAGCTGTGCTCTGCCTCCATCAGCACGCAGTGGCACCTGCCATCATACAGATAAATAAAGTGCAACAAAAAACACTTTAAATGTGCTGCAAAACCGAAGTTCACATTTAAAAAAAGCCTTATATCTGGCACAACAGTGGCCCACTATTGGCAGACCATTGTCATGAGTTTCTTGGGACACGATGCTGGGTCCACAGAGCAGAGCAAGCCATCACCCTAACTGAAGTCATCTTTTTCTTAAATGCTTTGTGTTTAAAAAACAAAACAAAACCATGTAATTATTTGAGGCCTATTAGAGACTAAAGGTAATGGCTCCGTCCTTCACCCTTAAATGCTGACGCTGGCTGCTGACTACATGTTTGTTTATTTTGTGTGTGGATGTGGGTGTGTGTGAAACGGGGAGCATGGAGGTCAGGAGACAGCTTGGAGGGTTGGTCCTGGAGACTGAACTCAGGTCATCAGGTTGGACAGCAAGTCCCTTCCCTCCCTGAACATCTCTCCAACTCAGATGCTGACTCATGCTCAGCTTGTTCTTCATGTGGGTCCCCTAACAATTGGAACAGGGGCCCGCTCTGACTCTGGTGCTTGCCTTTGGATCCTTTTCCCATAGCTGAGCTGCCTTTCTGGCCTCAGTGGGAGAGGATGTGCTTAGTCCTGCTGTCACTTGATGTCCCAAGGTGGGTTGGTACCCATGGAAGGGAGTGTCTCCCCTTCTCTGAGAAGAAGGAGGAGGGGGTGTGGGGGAGGTGTAAGGGTGGAACTGGCAGGAGAGAAGGGAGGGGACTTCAAACAGGCTACAAAGTGAATAAATAAATTAATCAATTAAAGAAAGAGACTTTGAAAATACTATTACACATGATTCTTTTACCTAAGTATCCCAGTTTTAAAATGATTTCAGACTTCATGTATTTTTGTTTGTTTATCTTGTTTTGAGAGAGGGTATCTGTGTAGCCTTGGCTGTCCTAGAGCTCGATGTCCGCACCAGGCTGGCCTTGAGCCTCTGCTCTAGAGTGCTGGAATTAAAGGTGTGTGCCACCACTGCCTATGTTATGTGTATCATATCTTATCTTATGTGTATGAGCGTTTTGCCTGAATATATGTCTATATAACACATGCATATAGTCCCTGTGGAGGTCAGAATAGTTGTGGGACCTCCTGGAACTGCAGTTACAGCCAGCTGTGAGTGGAATGTGGGAACCAAACCTGAGCCCTCCAGAAGCACATGTGTTCTCTTAACTGCTGAGCCATCAAATATCCAGACCCCAAACCTCCCAGTCTTAAAACCAAAGCACATGTATAGAATGTACTGGCACGGGAAAGGAAAGAACGGCCCACTCTGGGTGGTGTTTGTTTCTCCCCAATCTTGGATAATGGGGCTCCTGAAATGAAAGCAGGACTGTGGCCTTCTTTCCTTGGCATCTAGGAGCCATTATGATTTTCAAACATAAAGTTTGCCCACTTGTCTGTCCTACATTATACAATCAGCATTATAAAACTTAATTTAATATGTGAGTATTTCCACTCTCTCAGCGGTCATACAAGCACTCGGAAAAGCGCTGGCCAACAAACATGAGCATTGAGCTTGCATCCCCGCAGCCTCTCTGCAAAGGTGGAGCATTATGGCATGCATCTGAAACTTTAGACGAAGGAGACAGGCAAAGCCCTGGAGCTTGCTGGCCAGCCAGTACCATCAGTTGGTGAGCCCCAGGCTTAACGAGAGGTCCTGTCTCAAAAACAACATGGAGAGCAAATGAAGAAGACACTTGACTTTGACCTCTGGCTTCTACAGACACATGGCCACACAGGAACACACACACACTATAAACAAACAAATAACATTTTTAGAAAACATACAAAGCATGGCAATAATAAAGTATAAATTTCAATAAACTCATGATAATAAAAAAGAAAATATTTTTATCTAGCCAAGATAAAGATCAACACTACAGAAAATCAAATTTAACAGTTTTCTCCAATAGAGAGACTCTGGGCATATCAACCACTGCAGGGCAGGCGTCATGTTCAGGATTAGTTGACAAACATATAAAGGACTCCACAGTTTTGTTTGGTGTGTGTGTGTATGTGTGTGTGTGTGTGCTATTATTTGGTTAAAGTTAGGTGATTTAATTTTTGTTGTTTTGGTTTGGTTTGTTTTTTTGGTTTTTTTTTTCTGTTTATGTATTGTTTTATTTTGTTTTCTTGGTTTGGGAACTTTTATTCTATTGTTTTTGTTGTTGTTGTTTGTTGTCTTTTTATCTTTTTTTAAGGAATAACTTAAAGTTGGTTAAGTAGGGAAGGGTAGAGGATCTGGAAAGACTTGGGGAAGGGGAAGAATATGATCAAAATATAATTTAAAATAAATAGTTTTTTAAAAAGAAAATAAAAGCAGATTTAAATGAAACAAAGACAGATATTGATGAGAGAGTAGCATACAAGGGAGTTATGTTCCTCTAAAGTAGAAATTACCCAGCTTATATAGCAAGGGGAATAGACACAATAAGATGGAAGGAGAATGTGACAGCAAATACAGAGGACATAAGTAAAAATGATGTAATTAGCAAAATAAAAAAATCATTAGACTAAAAAACAGGTGATTAAACATGGAAATAACCAGAAAACGGGCAGGAGCCTTCCACAGGGGCCCTCTGAGACTCATAAGCAAACTTTGGGCCGAGTGCAGGGAATCTTATAAAAGAAGGGGGAGATAGAAAGACTTGGAGGGTACAGGAACTCCACAAGGAGAGCAACAGAACCAAAATACCTGGGCTCAGGGGATCCTGCAGAGACTGATACTCCAACCAAGGACCATGCATGGAGAGGACGTAGACTCGCTGATCAGAGGAAGTCCATAGGCTATTCAGTTTCCAAGTGGGATCCCTAGTAAGGGAGACAGGGGCTGTCTCTGACATGAACTCAGTGGCTGGCTCTCTGATCACTTCCCCTGGGGGATGCAGCCTTGCCAGGCCACAGAGGAAGACTGATGCAGCCAGCCCTGATGAGACCTGATAGGACAGGATCAAATATAAGGGGAGAAGGACCTCCCCTATCAGTGGACTAGGGAAGGGGCATAGGGGGAGAAGAAGGAGGGTGGGTGGGACTGGGAGGAGACAAGGGAGGAGGCCACAGCTGGGATACAAAGTGAATAAATTGTAATAAAGAAATAAAATAAAATGTGACCAAGTTGTGATGAATATACCAGCAGTACAATGAAGTAAGACTGAGTTCTGCCTACCTCTGAAAAGAAAGGATTAGGGCTCATATGTGCTAGGTAAGTGCTCTACCACTGAGCTAAATCCCCAGCCCTCTCTTTACTCTTTATTTTAAGATGGCTCCACTTGTAGCCCAGATAGGTCTTGAACTTGTAATCCTCTTGCTCCAGTCTCTTGGGGATTACAGATCTGTGTCAACAGGTCGTTTAAACAAAGGTTTTCAATTTTGTCTACAAAGCCAGACAACCCAATATGCTGTGGATTTTTGCAATGGAATAGGAGAGTAGGCAATCCCAGACCATTTTCTGTGTGTTTCACAATTGAGCAAATAAGTAAAAACCTATTGTGCGCAGTTACACTAGTTAGCTTTCTACTGCTGTAATGAAACACCATGATGAAAGCAACTTGGGGAGGAAAGGGTTCATTTCAGCTGTAGTCACCGAGGGAAGTCAGGGGAGGGACCTGGAGGCAAGAACTGAAGACTTGCAGAGACCCTGCTTACTGGTTGGCTCCTTAGGGCTTGCTCAGCCTGCTTTGTTACACAGCCCAGGAAAGCCTGCCCAGGGATGGCATTGCCCCCAGGGGGCTGGGACCTCCCACATCAATCATTCAGAAAAAGCCCAATAGACTTGCCTATAAGCAATTAAGCAATCTGATGGGGTGGGGGGCGTAAATCCCCCAATTAAGGCTCCACCTTCCCAGATCACTCCAGTGCATATCAAAGTGACAAATAAAATAAAATAAAATAAAATAAAATAAAATAAAATAAAATAAAATAAAATAAATAAAACCACCACCACATCAGTGAAGAAGAGATTATTTGTCTTCAGAGAATTCATGAATGGGGAAAGAGAGAAAGGCCAAATGAACCTAATGGTGTTGCATTGATATTAGAGTCATAAACTCACAGTTTTTAATTGACTGGTCGAAAAAGAGAGAATTGAGTTTAATGTATGCATGCAGTGTGATGTGGTGCGTGTGTGTGTGCGCGCGCGTGTGTGTGTTAGATTGAATTTTAGTTAGGAAAAAATGCCCTGGGAGCGGGGAAGATGGCTCAGAAGTTAAAAGCACACCCTGATCCTCAGGAGGATCCACACACACCAAGCAGCTCCCATCTCTGAGTCCTGCTGCAGGTGATCAAACACCTCTGACCACCATGGTCGCCCGCACTCACGTGCACATACTCCTACCCAGATAAACACACAGACACACTAAAAATAGTGAGAGTAAAGGAAACGAGTCTTGTTCATCCGTCTACCACCTAGGAAACAATCCACTCAGCGTTCGATTCTGCACGCCTGTACGCAGCGACATTTGAAAAGTTTCACATATTCTTCCGGGAAAATGAGAGTCTTGATCTGCAGGCGCTGAAGCAGCAGGAGCCTGGTGAGTCTGCCCTCACTAAGCACTCTTGACCGGGGTAACAAGAGTCGTCATCTTCTAGGTTTCTGTTTGGTGGTGTTCAGTGATAAAACTGGCAGCCTGAAACAGTTGAGCTGACAAAAGGCAAGAATTTATCCATGTCTCTTATTTTCCATGGAATCACTCGTTTCCTTTCCTCTCACTTTGCATCTTTGTGTTGTATTGGACTCTGTGGGAGGCAGTTCTTCCCTCTTCTGTGGCTATCTGCCGAGGTTGCCATGAGGGCTCTGAGACAGGTGTGTATTACAAGGAGTTGAAAGGGATGTGGAATCCTATCATTTCTGTCAGGTAAGGCTTACAGAAGCTTTCTGTCTCAGAATTCAAGTTGCATTTTTCTTCTGGTGACACACTGAGACCTGGTGGGAATGATCAACAACTCTTAATGGTGAATTCAAGCCCAGGGAAAAATCATCTCATTAAACTTATTTTATTTTTTTAACTTTTATTAATTACACTTTATTCACTTTGTATCCCCCATAACCCCCCTCCTCCCCTCCTAATCCCACCTTTCCTCCCCCTTCTTCACGCATGCCCCTCCCCAAGTCCACTGATAGGGGAGGTCCTCCTCTCCTTCCTCCTGATCTTAGTCTATCAGATCTCATCAGGAGGGGCTGCTTGTCATCTTCTGTGGCCTGGTAAGGCTGCTCCTCCCTAAGGGGGAGGTGATCAAAGAGCAGGCCAAATTAAACTTATTTTAAAAGGAGGCTAGAGAGATCAGAGGTTAAGAGCATTGGCTGCTCTTATATTGTCACATAGTGCCTTTACATACATGCAGTCAAAACACATATACACATTAAAAATTAAAGAAGAAAAGTAATCTATAGTACCCAGTGAAATTTCAGAAAAGGAGCCTCTTGGATGCTAAAGGAATTAAGCACATTTCACAAGATGACTTTTCCAAAGCATGAAGCACATTAGATTTTTTATTTTATGAACTGGCTTTATAGAATTTTGTTTTCAAGAAAATCTGGTTTTTATTTTGCAATTTTTTGGAACACTAAGTAGATCTATTCCAAATAGCCAACTTAGTAGTTTAGATCATCCAGCTCACCGGGGATTAAATTTAGGGCCTGTGCACACCCTGAGCTACAGCCACAGCTTATGGCTTCTTTATTTATTTTTTTTTAAGAGTTATCTTGTGCAAAAGCAAGCATGGGCCTTCTCCTCCTCCTTCTCTTCTTTTTCCTCCTCTTTCTCCTCCCCCTCCTCCTCTTCTTTGACTGTAACTGTGTTTATTGACAGACGCAGGACCTCTAGTGAGGATGAAGTAGGGCATATTGAACACTTTATGATGGGACTGCTTCTAGACTAGGCGAGGGGAAGGTGAGGCCTCAAGCACACAGACACACACAGTCGCCCCCGACAGAGGTGACGACAGGCAGGGTGCCTGCTTCTTACAAGCCTTAACTTTCAAAACTGAACGAGACTCCTTTTTCCAACCAATGCTAGATTTCTACTAATGCCAAACGGGGCCCCACGTTAGAAAACAAAACAATTAAGCAAGCCCGTTTCCACTGTCCTTTGGCCACACAGTCACACGGTAGTTTTGTTTGTTTGTTTGTTTTGTACTGGAATGAACTCACAGGGTCTCAAGGATGCAATGCCTTGTACTGTATGCCCATGAAGAGTAGCGTCATGGTGGCCATAACATCATAGAGCCTGGCACTTGAACACAAAGCAGGGCTAATCAAACAACTAGTGTAATCAGTGAGATCTTATAAGGTAGCTAAATTTTCAGAGACAATCTTCTGGAAGATATAAGGTGCTGTGAATTACATATGCATTATAAAGAATGTTTTTATCAATAGCATGATAAAAATACATTGAAGCCAAGCCTGATGGCACATGCCTGCAATCCTAATATCTAGGGGTCTGAGCTAGGAAGTTTGTTAGTTCTAGGCTGGGCTGGGCTACAGAGAGAGACACTGCCTCAAAAAACAAAACAATAGCTAATACTAATAGTAGTAGCAGTAGTAATTCAAGAGTACTTACATCTCCGTTGATCCCAGTAAATTAGAAAAAGAGAAGCGGAGGCAAGAAGATTATAAAAATACAGCCTTGACACATACTGCGTACAAACTGATGATTGCCCTAGCCATGACCTTAGGAGCAGAGATGGTGGAAGAGGTTGGGGAGAGGAAAAAAATAACTTTAGTTATATTTGAGCTCTTGGGTCTCAAAGTTCTCTTGTGAACAGCTTTGAAATATTTTACCACCAGACATCTGTAGGAGAATTCGTAGATCAAGCACAACTTCAAGACAACCTATAAAGAGCAGATCCCACACAAAGTGAGCACACACCCCTGCTGCATGCTAAATTTATGTCACACTACACTACAGTCTGCTGAGTGTGCAGCAGCACTGTGTTTAAGAAAACAGTAGATAGGCCTTAACTTTAGAATGTCTTATTGTATCAGTGGAGTGTCCAGCCACAAACACGATATCTTTATCAGACTCTCTTCCCCAAAGGCTCAGGGACTGTGGCAGAACAGGGGGCAGAAAGACTGTGAAAGCCAGAGGTCGGGAGGACTGAAGTGAAGCCATCTTTTGAATACACATGTCGACTGCGTTGGTGAACTCACAGCAGCTGTGGTTGCCTGCACAAGAAGACCTGTACAAGAGCCAGCCAGTCCACATCCCAACGTGGATGGGAAGCGCTCAACACCCCATGCCTAACTGAAGAACTATTGATGGCTGATGGCTGCTATGGGAGGGAGAGTCCGTTTGTTTTTAAAAGTGTGGCCCCAGCTAGTCAACTAAGCTGTAGCAGATGGTTCCACACTTAGGAGTATATGGGCAACACAAATTGGAGACTGCAAAAGAAAAAAAAAAAAAAAAAAAAAAAGGTAAAAAGTGGGAGTGTGGAGATAGGGTATGGATATAGGAGGAGTGGGTGATAGTAAGTATGTTCTAAATACAGTGTATTAATAAAATATTTGTATGAAAAATAAATAATAAAAATGTTAGAAGCTACACCCATAAAGTTTCAGCAACTTGAATGTTTCAACATGATCTGAACAAGGACAGCAACAAGAGACATGCCAAAGTGGATGGGGAAAGCCCATGAGGCCTCAGCCCCACGCAAAGGACTACAGGCAACCAAGGAATGATGAGTGAAATAGTCCTTCCCCAGGGAAGAATTAGTTTTCCAATACTGAATGGTCAGCCCTGAAAACCTAATACAAGTAACATCACACAGACTGAGCAGGTTGCATTTAGGAATATGCATCTGTATATAATAACAATAGCTGAAAAAAAGTGCTCATGAATTTGAAAGAGGGAAAAGAGGAGTATATGGGCCAGTTTAGAGGCAGGAAAGGGAAGGAGGAAATTATGTAAGTATTGCTAGAACTGTCAACAGACCTTCATTTTGTGAGAAACAGAGTGTCTCTTGAGTGTGAAGTAAAGCATAACTCAAGAAGCATGTCCAAAGTTAATCTTGTTTCTTATCTCCCAACGAGAGCCAGAAGACGTGATGGTAACACTGTAAAATAGTGGGAAATTTATTATGAGAGGAAGCATTGGTAAGCATTGTTAACTAGCACTATAGACCTGTACAAAGCACTCTAAGTATGGTAATAGCATAAGTACATACATTTATTAATTTAAATTTTTCATTGTGTATATTCATTTTAATGGCAGCATGTTTACAGTAGCATACAAACTTTTAAAAACTAATTACACTGGACAATGAGAATGTCTCTCCCCCACACTCCCAGCCTTCCATTGCTCCCCTCCCCTACCTCCCCTCCTTCCCCTCTCATTGCTCTTCTTTGTCTCTCTGGACAATTTCACTTCTACTTTCTAGTTAGATACACACATATGACTTTATGTGTCTATAGCAAAATCTACAGACCATATAAGACACATGATAATTGTCTTTCAGAGGCTGTTTTAATTTGCTTAATATGATGACCTGTAGTCATTTTCCTGCAAGTGACATAATTTCATTCATTACAGCTGGAAAAAAAAAAGAAAAGAAAAGAAAACTCCACCGTGTATGTCAACCTCATTTTCTCTGTCAGCATCAGCTGGACAGACATCTATGTCGTTCCCTTAGCTTAGCAACTGCAAGTAGGATGAAGCCACAGTAACACTGATGTGCGAGATCTCTGCTATGTGCTGTCTCCGGCTGTAGAGTGAGCAGAGATGGAGCTCAATTTATGACCGCAGGAACCAAGGATGATATAACTAACACACCTTAGCTTCTGTATGTCGATGTGTATGACTTTGTGCCGGCTACCTTTCCCCTGGGTTAGTTCACGTTCCTACCAGCGGGAGTCCACACCCTCGCCAGCACCGTATCAGTCATTTGTTGCTTAAGGACCACTCTTGAGGCTGGGGTGGTTTTTAATCCATGGTAGGCTGTTGTTTTAAAATCAGCGTGAACGAGTATATAAGTTGTGCTTCTTGTTTTCTGTAGATGTCAAATTCTTCAGTACCCAGCTGGAAAAGTATCACAAACAGCACAAAGACTCGTTAGCCCTGAAGCCCACCCGAAACGTAGGCCTGTTCCTTATTGACACCAAGCAGCTGAAGGAGAAGCTGATCCCATCACCACTGCGGTGCTTGGAGGTAACTGTGAGCTAGAAGAGGACTCAGGTGCATGTGTGTTCGTGTGTGTAAAAGTGTGCACAAGTATATGCCAATAAAGGATCACCATTATTCTTACAGTGTGCTCGCAACATTCGCAAATACAAAGATCAAATATTTCTTCTTAATGATTGAAATATTTGCAGACGCCATAATTAAGGTGATATGAGAGTAAGCATTGTAAGTGTTTCTTTGACTGTAACTTCCGTTGGGGATTGGCTGCTTTCTTCTGGCCTCCGAGGGCTCCAGCCACACGTACTGCACATATGTGCACGCAGCCAAAACACCAAAACACATTCTTTTTTTTTTTTTTAATAAAAAAAGCTATAATTAGGACAAATACAAATTAATTTCAACATTTTTTTTTAGCACAACCAACATACCAAGTCAAAGAAAACAAAACTCAAATTTAGATAATTAGAAAAACATATACATTCATAAACGTCCAGAAACTGAGTGAACACGCGTGTCCTTGTGATGTGTCCAGGCATTCACTTTCTTTTATCCTTCTCTCAAAGCTCCGGGTGTGCAACGCGACACTCGAGAGGAAGCATCTCCTCAGGTGTATGAAATGGTTATTGAAAGTGTCCACATGCTAGGTGTTTCCTTGTCTATATACAATGAGAATGAAGAGATTAGGGTCTTAAGTCACGTCTCCCTCATCCCTAAATAAAAACTAGCAGCATCAGAGGTTCATCCTAATCCAGTCACTTGTTCAAAAGAAACCTTGCTCAGATTTCCCCTGGGATCAGCCATACTTTGTTCCTGAAGAAAACAATTTCTTCCAAACCACATGGATTCCACCCAATAGATGGGCCTGATGCTGAGGGGGCGGCCTAGTGTCCACTGTGTCAGGCAGAGGAGCAGAAGGCATCCCTGAGCAAACCATCTCATAAGCCATGTCCAAATCTAGCCTTGCTTTCCTGTCAGTCGGTAGGCAGGTATTTAGTGGGAGGGCTGCCCCTACACACTGCTGTTTCTCAGACCTTCTGATTTAACATCTGTCAAGACTTCATACAGTAAGAAAGCAGAAATGTTCAATTTTTTTGTCTTTTTTTATTTCTTAGGTGCTAAATATTATGCTTCCCTGTCTGAGCAAGAAAAAGGTGGATGCCATTATTTCAGAGGCACAAGATGCAGAGTATAAACTCGAGTTTGTCCCAACTACTACCATAGAATATGTTAACAGCTTAGTATTCCTTGATGAAATCCAGGAGCGGGTAAGTTGGCTGTTCTCTGATAATTCAGTGTCTCAGACCATGTGGTAGGAAAGAAAGATGCACAAGAAAAAGAAGAGGCCCAGTCAGGAAACAGTTGCCCAAATAATCGAAATACTTTCAGGCATGGTAGATGATGCCCTGTATTTTAGCAGCAACCAGCCTTCAAGTTCTAGCTATTCAGCAGGGAATGCATGGAATTTTTACATGCTTACACTTCTCATCCTCACAAATCCTACAGCTGAGGAAGCAAACAAACTAAAATAAGTGTTACAAGGTCACAAAACTTGCATGAAGTAAAGCTGAAATCAAAACCTGAGTGTCTGACTGCAAAGCCAGTATTCGGAAGCGTAGTGTAGTTCTAATTTTATAATTACTGGTGATGGATATAGGTCTCATGGGGGTCAAAATCCTTTAGCCCTGCGCTGACATACAGCTCAGGATTCTCAAAGTAGCTTAAGTAGAGACAGCCCCCGCCACCTCAGTCTCGGTGTCTGTCTGTCTGTCTCTCTTTCTCTGTGTCTCTTTCCTGTGTGTGCCTCTCTTGCTTGCTTTCTCCCTGGAAACTTGACTTCCTCCTCTCAGGCTCTTTGCTGTGACAGCAATATAACATTAGGCTCCAATAATTAATTTTTCCTAAATTCATTACTCTCAGTTTGGTTTCGAAGTAGATATAAATCACTTTCTAAAATATCAGAATTTGAAAAAGTGTCACTGAGTAAAAGGTGGTTATGTGTTACTAACACAGCTAACAGTAAAAGCCTCTTCACGCACCTGCAAAAGTAGCATCCTTGTTTATTTTGAGAACAGCCCCGAAGAGACAGGTAATTATGTACTAGGGCTTGCTGCAACCCTGATGACAAAAGATGACAGAAAGGTTATGTGTGCATCGTTATGTTTGAACAAAAGCCAAACATTAACATGACCTACTCTAGGCCAAAATGGAGTCCTCAGCTAAGGATTCAGAGCGGTTTCATGGAAACTCCCCTCTCATCATGAGTGTAACTAGGTTCAGAATCCAAGCACAGGAGCTACAGTCCTCCCTCTCCATCCATCCTCTCTTGCTTCTCTTTGGGGTCATCTCCAACAGATACACTGCCGCTTCATCAGGTAGAGCAAACATGGCTGCCAGCAGCTCCCCAGGGGCACATCAAAGTCAAGCCAGCCACCAAGAGATAGGACTGGTTCTTATGCAGAGATTATATCCGTTTAGAGAACTAGCTTCAGGTGCTAGAAACTTCATTGAAAGCAGCCCAAACTTATACCAGTAACTTAGAAAATAGGAAAATGGGGCTGGAAAGATGACTCTAAAGTTAAGAAGGATGGCGACTCTTCCAGGGGATGTGAATTCAGTTCCTATTACATCAAGCGGCTTACAGTTCTAAACCTGGAGGATCTGGATATCAGCTTCTGGCCTCCTGAGGTACCCATGTGCACAGGTGCATACACACACGCATACACACAGGCACACACACACCAAATAAAATAAATTGTTAATACAAGAAAATAAAGTGGAAATGTATTCTAAGTTTGTCTGAGATTTTCTAGAAGCTATGGATAGATTAAAGCGATGAGGAGTAGGGGCAAGAGAAACAGAGGAAACAAAGACCTTTCCTTCCTCTCCAATGTCTGCTCCTCTATAGAAAACAGCTTCCCAAAGGAGCCAGACCACCAGCAGAGCAGAGCCTGGGTAGTCCTTGGAAAGGCATGTCCTTGGGCCCCTGCCTAGGCCTTGCAAGTCAGAAACTCTGGGAGGAGCATATCAGCCTGTGTGAATGCTCTTCCCAAGGTCATTATCCTGCAAGCTACAGGCTGAGACCTGTTCTCCACAAGCTTCCCTGCAGTCAGGGTCTCCTGTTAGGGAGCTCTGGTCAGCTTCCACACAAACGCATTAAGCTGTGATCAAACCCACAGCTAACTCTGGCTATGCTCAAGTTCAGTTGAGATTTGGGTTCTCCAGGTCCTAACTGTGTGAACATGGCAGCTTCTATAACCACGTGGTAGAGTTGGGGGGTGAGGAATATACTCCAAATTGCGGAACCATTTGTTCCCAGAAAATTAGAGAACACGGGGCATGCACTGTCCACCGAAAGTAAACTATCAAGGTTCTGAGTAGCTATTTGGGATGCAGTAAAATAATTTAGTGAATCATAGTGAAGCATCACCATAGATCTGGGTTCTGAACCTGTGAACTAGGAACGTGGCCTGTCCACACTTCAGGTGCTGCTCCAGGGTGACTGCTGTCAGCGTGTGCCACTGACACTCAGGTACAAACAACCACAGCATATTTATTTGGTCTTAGAAACTGGTTGGCACTGTTTAATGCAGAAAGGATCAGGAAGTTGGGAGGGAGAGACCAACTGATTTTACTTTCTAGGACTGTAGTCAGCACTGACCATTTACCTCCTGGCTCAATCACCCAATTACCAGTACTGTAGCAATACTTGTATTTATCATGTGACCAGCTTCAGCCAACTAGATGGTCATGCCAAATGCACTCACGCATTGACCATTAACACTTTGATGTTCATATTTCATAGACGCATCTCAAACTAGAAAACACTGCTGTTCCACTGTGTTTCACGAACGATGTTTTTGTGTAGATTGAAAGCCTGGAGGAAGAGGCAAATACAGTGATTCAGATGTACAAGCTCATTGAACAGTATCAGGTGGCCACCCCTCCTGAAGACTTTGCTGTTTTTGCGACAATGAAGCCGTCCATTACTGCCGTGCGGAACGCTATCGACAAATCAGTGGGTGATCGAGAAACAAGCATTAAACAGTTTTGTACGCACTTGGGTCGAGATCTTGAAGAGCTCAACAACGAGGTGAATGAGGTCAAGCTGCTGGCGCAGGTGAGCAGAACATTTTCAGACAATCCATCCAGTTTGAGGATTGCAGGTTTCTAGAATTCCGGTAGGATCAGCAAATAAAAGTTGTCTGTGTGTACAGTCTGCACCCGTATGTGCATGTTCAAGACTGTGCTCAGCTAGTTAACCTATCCATCATATCACATACTTATTATTTTGTGATGAGAACTTTGAAATTTGTTCTTCAAGTCATTTTAGAGACTATATTTCATTTCAACAAGTTTTTTTCTTGTTTTATTCTAAACAATTCTTTAAGCTTTAAACGTTAGGCATTTTCAGTCTCTCTTTTAACGTACCGAATGAATTCCAGGGCACTGTGAGACAAGTCCGCATTTAAAATTCAATTCTCATCCTCTTGGCTGGTATTTAGTATTTTGTAATGAGTGTACTTACTACTTGCTAGCTCATTTTGTAGCTGATGTCACAGTGTAAAATTTGTTGAGGATATTGGCAAGTTTCTCCTTAATATTAGGAATAATATAAGGTGGTAAAGAGGACTAGAGATTATTTATTTAACCTGCACCTCTTTGGGGGAAATTTTTCAGAAATGAAACTACACATCCAGATGATTCTTAACTAAAATGTACCAGGAAACGTGATTTTTTTAAAATGACTCATTATTTATTATCTTTGGCTAAAACTTAGCAGAGAATTATAAAAACAGTAGAATTTTGAAAATAGAAAAAATGCTCATCAATAGATTATTAAAGTACATTCATGTAGATATCCTCAAATGAGCATAATGCATTTGTATTAACATGGAGACACTGAAAGCAGCTAACAACATCTGCATACTGTCGGACAAGCGTGGGTTAAGAACTGGCTACTGTTGTTACCTTTATACTGAAGCTTTTTAAAAATTTCCAAGTAGACCAGATGTGTATGGCTATAGTAACTATAGGCTTCAGTGAATTACCAGGAAGTGAGCACACTTGTGTTCTTCTAGCAAGAACTGTTGCATTGCTCATGTCTATGCGTTCTTTATCCCCAGAGTCAGCTATTGTCCTGAATCCTGATGTCTTAGGATCATACAGTGCTTTCTCATATTCATATCACTGTGTGTGGATATAGCTGATAGATATGTGTGTGTGTGTGTATTTTTATTTACTCTCAGGACACATATGAGTTTTCTCACATTTCACATAGAAGAAAGTAAGATATGGGGAAAAAGTTGCTCGGGGTCACAAAGATGATAAATGGTGGAACCAGGACTGAGGCACAGGCAGTCGCCTCTCAGTGGCTGGTGATTCCTGCTCCATGTGCTGTGTTGTGTGCATTGCAGATCATCAAAGCTTGAGTAATGATCAAAAGAACAATATGCCAGCACCTGATTCATCTGTAATTGTGCATTTTAAATCCGACACACACCAAACACTAAAGCTGCGTATCTCTAACCAGTCTATCTTCCATGAAAGGTTTAAATAGATTCCTTCTCACTCTTGGGGAAAGAACTATAATCTATAATTTACTACATAAATAACACCTTTTGCTATCATGACCCTCCACACACACAAAAATACACACTCTCAGTGATCGAGGGAAGTTGGGGAGAAAAACCTAAATGTGATAACCAATGGCGATTGGGAAAATTGGTAAGCCAGATGTTTGAAGGCCATATTGAGAAAGTCATGCATTATTGGGACTGTGAGCTCTGACAAAACCGGTGGCTTGTAACGATAGGAACCAGCACAGAACAGAAAGGACCACTAGCTAACCGCTGCCTGAGAAAATCAGGCGCAGCCCAGTCATGACAAGGGCACCAGTGCCCACATAAGCAGCTTCTGCCATGACGGTTCCATTGGTGTTTTCTAACCTAGGACACACTGCCGTTTAGTACAAGGCCACACTGGGCAGGAGATGGACCATCTAGCTCCCAGTGATGGCTATACTAGTTCTTAGATTTGTTCATTTCCTCACATGCTGTCAAAACCAGCTAAGTGTTTCTACTTTGTTCCTGAACTATCTGCTGCCTGTTTTCTGGGCTTTCAACGCCCAAGTGTCAGACAGATATTTGCCTGATATTTGCCTTAAGATACATACCTTATGTATTCTTCATTTTCTCTCTTCCTCTCTGTGATTGCACGTATGCATATTACGTCATATTGCATATTTATGTATTTTATATGTTTCAGACAGTGTGTGTATAATTTCATAGTCCCTGGTTCCATAGCTTTTGGTATTTATTAAATATTTAATAAATAACCTGTCTTAGTTATTGTTCTATTGCTGTAAAGAGACACCACGACCAAGGCAACTCTTATAAGAGAAAGCATTTATTTGGGGGCTGGCTTACAGTTTCAGAGGACTCGCCCATTATCATCATGGCAGAAAGCATGGCAGCAGACAGGCAGGCATGAGATGGGTGCTTCCATGCTGAGCCCCAAGCAGGCAGGCAAAGACAGGGACAGTGGGACTGGCACGGGCTTGAAACCTGAAAGCACACCCTCGTTTATGTACCTCCTCCAACAGCGCCCCACCTCCGAGTCCTAATTCTTCTCAGACAGTTCACCAGGTGGGGACTGCAAACCTATGAGCCTGTGGGCTGCTCCCATCCACACCTCCCTCTAATCCAGACAGTAAGACAAACACCCTTGAGGAAGCGTTGGAATAACCTTAAAGTGATAAAGAGGAAATAGAGTCTTGTTACAGTGCCTGGTGTGGCAGGCATCAGAGTCCCTCTTTCCACCCTTCTTTTCTCTCCAAGGGAAGCCAAAGGAACTACTGTTTCTCTTTGCCAACAGTGACACAAAGACTGAAAATGCCCTCTACGGCCCACTCCTGGAGATGGCCATAAAGATATTTTCTGATAGTAGCTCATAAGCACCTCCACTCATGGACCTTTTTAAAAAGGTTCTTGACCCCAGCCTAAGAGGAAGGTATCATGCACAGAGATCACGAAGATTCTAAATAGGCCTTGCTGGGTTCAACCTGTTAGCATTAGATCATACTGGTTTTCTCTAGTCATGCTTCAATGTAGTAATCTAGACATCAAGTATGTTTGTATAATACATACTAAATACAAACCCCTAAGGCCTAGGTTTACAGAGTCTCGTGATGGTCAAACACCTGAAAAGTAGTGGCCAAGGGAGATACGAAGCTCTGTAGTCCTTCCTCGTGTCTCACTCTGTGTCTCTTCATTTGCCTCCATCATGACAGTCTTCTTAAGCTGCTGAAGTACAAATATCTCCCCCAGTTCCGCAGACCACTCTGATAAATTAACTGGCCCTAAGGAGGAGCTGTGAGAACCTCACTTGGTGGTACTTAGACAGAGCGATCTGGTGGCATCAGAATGAGAACATTCTTGGGAATGAGCCCTCAGCCTGTGGCACCCACTGTGTCTCCAGACAGAGAGCATGAGAGCTGAGGTGACCTGGAGGATACTGAGCTGCTGTACAGCGGCTTGGTTTTCTAGGAGGGGAACTGACACACACACGTGGAAGCTGTCGCCAGCGTCTGCTACTGTGTGGGTTCCTTTTTCTCTCTTCTACCCTTCTGTCCTTATTAAGCCCCTAACACTAGAGAGTAGAGTAAAAATGATAGAAGGAAGAGGGAGCAAAGTTATCCTTAGACTACTTCCTGTTGATTAAGGGCATTGAGTTAATTGGGGCAAGTTTGATCTTTGCTGTCAGGATATCTAATTTCTTCTTGTCGTTTCTTTGCACATGACTACTTGGCAAATAGCAGCCAACAGCATCCAACCACCAGCCAGTCACCAACAGCAGCCCCGCCTCAGGACCCTAGCATTTACATATCCTCTGAAAAGTTCCCAGAATTCCAAATGTCACACACTTGCAGAAACTATCTTCAGCTGGCAAAATCACACCTCAACCAGAGCACAAGGCAAACCATAGTCAACTGCTATTGAAGCAGCCTCTTATCCCCACACCTGGGATTAGAAAGAAAACATATTCTCATAACATTTCTTTGGTTTTTAAAGAAACCAAAATTGCAGAATTTTTGGAAGCACACTGTGAGAAAATACTAAGAGAATCTGATTTTCCTTACTGTCTCTCTTATCTCAAAGCATTTTCTACTGTCTTATTTTAAAGAGGAACTATTCTTTGTATCACAGCCTTCTCTCCTCTCCTCTGTCACATTCTCCACAGCTGAAGTCTTGTTTGTTTTCAGATAGGAAAGGAAGGAGACTGTACCGTGTTCTGGTGTGTGAGTGGGTGGGTGGGTGGGTGCATGCGAGCCAGGGCTCACGTATATGCAGGCCAGCAGACATCTTGCACCTTCCCTTCACTGTGTGAATCCCAGGGATGAAACTAAATCGTTAGGAGGTGAGTGCCTTTGCCCACTGAGAAATCATGCTAGTCCCTACATTCTGTTTTTAAAACGTTATTATGTTCCTATTTAATGTGACTGTGCTTATATTAACATTTAGAACAAAACAACCATTTTAATACAGTTTCCTATTTACTGTTTTTTTCTACAATTCTATACTTGTGATTGTGCTTATATATAACATTTAGAGCAAAACAACCGTTTTTAATACAGTTTGTAAGAGTGAGAGAGAAAAGAGGATTAGGGGAATGCATTTTTGGAAACAGGTTTATTGGTTCACTTAATCTTCATGAACAAGTAAGCCTGCCTAACTAGAACCCACGTTGACTTCACAGGACCCACAGATCTTGGATATCAATGCTGACCAGGAGAAAATTAAAGTGATGCTGAGTGAGCTGCAGTCCACCCTGGATGACCTTCAGAAACGTGCCTTTCAGTACAAATCCTACCAGAAGAATTTCAAGGTAACCACAGCTGCTCACATCTGCTTAGGAGTGCACGCACAAAGGTGTATTTGTGCGTAAGTGATTTCAACCAACGACCAGAACCTCTCAGTGGACGGCTGTGTGCCAGTCAGTGCCACAGCACACCAAGGGAGACAGTACACCAGAGGGCTGGAGAGATGGCAGGCTCAATGCCCAAGTGTGAGGACCTGAGCTTGGATCCCCCACCCCAGTACCCATGTAAGAGCCAGGTGGGCATAGTAGCCTGCCTGGTATCCCAGCAATAACAGGAAGTGGAGACAGTGTATCCCTGGGGCAAGCTGGCTAGCTGGACCAGAAGAACCGTCAAGTTTTGGTTCAGGGCTTCAGAAATATCAGGCTGAGAGCAATCAAGGAACATCTGACATCAACCATGGGCTTCTACATGCACATGCTCTTTTGCACACACAAGTACACACACATGCACAATTATTAACATATACACGTGCATGTGTATTGCCCATATGTACATATGTTAAAATATTAGTATATGTGAGAGACAAAATATCCTCTTGTTAAAAAATAACTGAATTATGCGAAATTCTCAGCCAAAACCTCTTGCAGTTTCTATGTTAAAAGGTGTATGCATTCCAAAATGTGGTTAACTAAAGCCCCTCTAACTTTTCTTAAGTAAAACTCAAGCTTCTTTTGCATTTGAATGTGTTTTCATTCCTTGAGCTTTGCCTGAGTTGTCCTGGTGTTACATGAAAGAAGAACTGAGACAGAGACAGAAGATAAAGTGGGTCCCAAAAAGTGGGTTTGAGAGGGTAGGGCTGGGAAGAAAGAAGGAAGAGAACCAAGAGACCCTTGTGCCTAAAGCAGCATCTACAGAGGGCAACAAGGTGAATGAAAGAGTAGAAAAGAAATCATTCGTAAGGTCAAAAGCAGGAGTCCAGCAGGCATGAGGAAGGTGCTACTGGTGTCTCAGAAGCCTTGGTGGAGGGCATCTGTGCTTCCCATGGGGACACACCCACTCACTCAAGTCTTTAGTCAGGTCCCCTCCAGAGGCCATGGCTTGGTAAAATAACCCGAAGAGTGATGTGCTGGGTGCCAGGCAGTGAGATGGATGTATAACCTGAGTGAGGAGTAACGCCCATATGGAAGCACAGAAGACCCCGGCCAGTCCTGAGCGGTCCCGAGCAACAGGAATGATGCTGGAGGCACCACAAAGCTACAGGGTCCTGGTATCAAAACCAGAGTTCTACTGACACGTAGGTCAGTGGAACAGAACAGGGGAGCCAGAATTAAACCCACACAACTACAGCCACATGGCCTTCGACAGAAATGCCAAAACCATATGTTTGGGGGCGGGGGAACTGGGGACACTGGATAACCACATATTAGGAGTGAAACAAGATCTTTGTCAGTTATCCTATACAAAAATTAATTTTAAAAATATGTCAAGGACCACAGTGTAAGGCCTGAGCTATCAGGGGAGACACTTCAAGATGTCAGCGTAGGCAAGGGCTTTCTGAAGAGAAATCTACCAAGGAAATAAGACCAAGCATTGACAGATGGGACCGCATAAGATTAAAAAGCGCGGCAAAGGAAGCAAGAAGGTGAAGGGGCAGCTCACAGAATAGGAAAGAACCTTTGCATCTGGAAGGTTAATATCTATCATTTATTGTGAACTCAAAATACTAAAAATACAAGAAGATAAATAATTTAATAAATAGGCTAATGAAATGACGATCCTCAAAAGATGGAATACAAACGACCAGTAAACATAAGAAAAATACTCAACATCCTTATTTGTCGGGGAAATGAAGACTGAAACTGCATTGTATTCCAGCTCACCCTAGTCAGAATGACTACTTTAAATCAGACACGCGCACAGGACGGTAAGGATGTGGAGCTGTTATTCTCTGCTGGTGGGAATGGAGATGAGCTTAGCAGCTATTGCAATCAAGATGGGGTTCCTCAAAAACCAAAACTGATGCAGCTCTCCCACTCCTGGGCATATATCTGAAGGACTCTTTGGTCAACACACCACAGGGATATCTATACAGCTAGATCTAAATCTGCACTAGTCACAGTAGTGAAGTTACAGAATTGGCTGAGATTCCCATCAACAGATAAACAGATACAGAAGACGGGATAGGAGTGCACAACAAGGTTCTACTCAGCCATCAGGAAGAATGAAAGTATGTCATTTCCAGGAAAAATGTGTGGAAATCATCATGTTAACCGAAATAAGTCAGACTCAAAACCACAATTATCGTGTGTTTTCTCTCCTTTGTGTAGTCTAGCTTCTAGCTAAGTAGCATTTAAAATGCATGCATGTGTCTTGAAAACAGAAGGGAGGTGAGAAAAAGATTATCAGAAGGAAAGGAGAGGGAGTACAGGACAGGGTGTGGGGTAGAGATGCTCACAGTGCCTGGTACACTTGAAAGAAGTTACAATAAGTATGTGTCAGTTAAGAAAACCAGCAGCAACGGGGCTGGAGAGATGGCTCAGGGAGTAAGAGCTCATACTGCTCTTGAGTTAGTGAGTGAGTTGTTAGTTGAGACCTGAAGAATAGAGCCCTAGCTTTTACATGAATCTATACATACCTACATATGCACAAACATGAATACACACACAGGCACAGCAAAAAGGAAAACATAAATAAATCAAGTCATGTCATATGAACCTGGACAACATTGCTGATCTTAGTGAGATGAGACAGTCACAGAAAATCAAATAGTGTGTAGCCTATCTAGAGCACTCTCGCAGAAGTGAAATGACCCCAGTGATTGCTGCTGGCTGGGAAGGGAAATGAAGAGCTGCTTGCTTAGTATGTATAACTTTTCGTAAACACGGCACGAGAGAGCACTGGAAGCCTGCCACTAATGTTGCTAACACTCGCATGGCAACTAACTAGCACTATTCGTGTAAAGAGAGCTTTCTTAAGATCTCTTAAGAAAGAGATCTCATGTTATGTGTTTTTACCATAATATTAGAAAAAAAATCACTAAAGGAAAAAAATGGATGAGTAATGGCTCAGTGGGGACAAGTATGAGGACCGAAATTCAGATTCCTCAAACTCATGGAGAGCCACTGTAATCCCAGGGGCCCTACAACAAGACAGGAGGCCAGGACAGGAGAACCCCTGGAGGTTCTAGGGACAGCTAGCCTAGCGAGTGCAGTGGCAAACACCAAATAGAGCCTGTCTCCAACAAGATGGAAGCTAGGACCGCACCAGACTTTGTCCTTTAATCTCCACACATGCGCTATGGCATATGTGTGCCCCACACTCAAACACAAGCATGTGTTCATGCCCCCTACACACACCACCTGAAATAGGAGCATTCACTCTCTTCACAGGGCACATCTGATTCTTCCTTCTCAGTTGCTTCTGACACAAACTTCCTCCTGCAGCTGCCAATCATTTTGAGAAGAACATGTGCATGGCTTTGGTGGCATTAATGGAAGACAAGGGTAGCCCCTCCCCAACTTAGTTTGGGTTTCATAGTTGTGAAGAGACAACTTCTGTTCCGTCAATTCTGTTCAATGGGAGTCTCCTCCTATCCAAGCCAAAGCAGTCTTTACGTGATTTCTCACCAAGACACCATCAGGAATTGGAGAGCTGGCTCAGCAGTTAAAAGCCCTTGCTGCTAAACAAGCTGAAAAGCAGCAAACCAAGTAATCCACTTAAAAAATGGGGAACAGAGCTAAACAGAGAATTCTCAATAGAGCACTATCAAGTGGCAGAGAAACACTTAAAGAAATGCTCAACCTCATTAGCCATTAGGGAAATGCAAATCAAAACAACCCTGAGATTTCACCTTACACCCATCAGAATGGCCAAGATCAAAAACTCAAGTGACAACACATGCTGGAGAGGTTGCGGAGAAAGGGGAACCCTCCTCCACTGCTGGTGGGAATGTAAACTTGTACAACCACTCTGGAAATCAATCTGGCGCTTTCTCAGACAATTAGGAATAGCGCTTCCTCAAGATCCAGCCATACCACTCCTAGGCATATATCCAAAAGAGGCTCAAGTACACAAAAAGGACATTTGCTCAACCATGTTTGTAGCAGCTTTATTTATAATAGCCAGAAGCTGGAAACAACCCAGATGCCCCTCAACTGAAGAATGGATGCAGAAATTGTGGTACATCTACACAATTGAATATTACTCAGCAATGAAAAATAAGGAAATCATGAAATTTGCAGGTAAATGGTGGGACCTGGAAAGGATCATCCTGAGTGAGTTGTCCCAGAAGCAAAAAGACACACACGGTATATACTCACTCATATAGACATACAACATAGGACAAACCCACTAAAATCTATGCATCTAAAGAAACCAAGCAAGAGAGAGGACCCTAACTAAAATGTTCAATCCCCACCTGAAAGGCAAAGAGGATGGACATCAGAAGACAAGAAAACAGGAAACAACCTAGAAACCTGCTACAGAGGGCCTCTGAAAGCCAGAAGAAGAAAACAGGAAACAAACTAGGAACCTACCACAGAGGCCCTCTGAAAGCCTCTGCCCTGCAGACTATCAAAGCAGATGCTGAGCCTGATGGCCAACTGTCGGGCAGAGTGAATGGAATTTTATGTAAGAAGTGGGAAATAGTAAGAGCTGGAGAGGACAGGAACTCCACAAGGAGAGCAACAGAACAAGAAAATTTGAACACAGGGAACTTCCCAGAGACTCATACTCCAACCAAGGACTATTCATGGAGATAACCTAGAACCCCTGCACAGATGTAGCCCATGGCAGGTCAGTGTCCAAGTGGGTTACCTAGTAATGGGAAGAGGGACTGTCTCTGACATAATCTGATTGGCCTGCTCGTTGATCACCTCCCCCTGAGGGGGGAGCAGCCTTACCAGGCCACAGTAGAGGACAATGCAGCCACTTTTGATGAGAACTGATAGACTAAGAACAGAAAGGAGAGGAGAACCTCCCCTATCAGTGGACTTGGGGAGGGGCATGCATGCAGAAAGGGGAGGGAGGGTGGGATCAGGAGGGGAGGAGGGAGGGGCTTATGGGGGGATACAAAACGAATAAAGTGTAATTAATAAAAAATAAAAAAATAGGAAAAAAAAAGACTAACAGATTGAGACAGACACACAAGAAGCTGAAAACTTAATACAGGATCTGGACATACACCTGAACACTGGTACTTCACTAAATAAAATTTTATCTAATGGAAAAAAAAAAAAAAAAGCCCTTGCTGCTCTTCCAGAGAACAAGACTTCATTTGATTCTCAACATACAATGGATGGCCTATAAGCCCAGCTCCTGGAAGTCAGATGACCTTTTCTGGAATCCAAGGACACCTGTGCCTGCCCCCCCCCACAAATAAATGAATAAATAAATAAAGTAATAAAAATCAATCTTTACAAAAGAGAAAACGCCTTCAGGATGTCTGCATTCTTCCTCTCTACAAGGTTTCTCTGCAGTCTGTGGTTAGGAACAGAGGTTGTCCTGAGATCTTGGACCTCACTGCCCTCCACCCTCCCCTCCAGCAGTTACCATGTACATATATTCCTCTTCTATCATCAAAGCATAGGAGCCCTGAGGGAAAGCACTTAGTCTGAAGACTCTTCCCCCACAAAGACCAAGATTTAAACAGGATGCCGGCAGTGCTCTTTCAGTAATGGTCCTGTTGAGAACATGTGAGCCATGAGAAAATATGAATGATATTTTGTTACTCAAATGAGAAGTTGAAAGACCCCCGCCTCACCCTAAGTTAAACATAGCTAACGCCATTTTGTGAGACACCACTGTTTTGAGAAACTCTGTAGGCTAGGTGGGGAACTGGAAAATTACTGAGAAACCCAGCTGTGTCATATCTGCGGTCAGGCTGCCCCAGTCGAGCTAAAAACAGTTTGTGTTAATCACCCTCATGGGATATCTGTGAGACTGTTCCAGTTAAGATAGGAGTCCTAAGGAAAACAACAGGTGGCGGGCCAAGTTAAGGGGGTCATCATGACCATCTCGACCACCCAGTTCCTGGAATCCTGGTGTCCCTGCCAAACTCTTGACTCAAATTGTGGTCTCATTTAAATATACCAATCAGCTCCCTGTAACCATGCTTCTCGCTTCTGTACCCGCGCTTCTGCTCTAAAACCCTATAAAAAGCCCAGCTTTCCACCTAGAGGGCGCGCAAGTCCTCCGAGAGACTTTGTCGCCCCGGGTACCCGTGTATTGAATAAAGCCTCTTGCTGTTTGCAGCCGAACAACTGGTTTCGCTGATCCTTGGGAGTGGGGGTCTCCCTGACGGAAGATTCCCCTCGGGGGTCTTTCAAAGTTACACTGTACTTTCCGGAGTCTCTTCCTTTCCTTTCCTTTTCCTGTGTAAGACCCACACTCTCCAGGAAGTGACAGCACTTCCAGGAAGTGAGAGCTGCCTGTAGACAAGATAGTGTGGACTCTAAGTGCTGCATTCTGCTTCTTGTGTTTATTAAAGGTGGAAGTGTCCAAGTTTGATGCACTGGAAGAAGTTAGTGCTGAACTGAAGCTCAAACAGCTACTCTGGGATTCCTTGTATGAATGGGACAAACTCCAGGAGGAATGGCTAAAGGTAAGGACAGCTCTCAGCGGCTGGATACTTTACTAACTCCACCTAAATATTAATAATATGAAATGTAGTCCAATAACCTGTCTTTTTATCAATGCAATATATACTTCAATACTCAGAAAATTGAGTTTTTATATCTGCCAAGGGAAAAAATTAGCTATGATGGCACTGAAACTAGGAAATTTAAAAAAATAGCTTTATATCCTTGTTCATATTTCATGTGTCCATTTTTGCGTTCCAAAGGAGTTCAACATGAGAGATTCCTTTGGAGCAGTGGTTATGACATCTTTGTTCTCTCTTTAGTTCCATTGGCCATTGTCAGTAGGAACTAGACACTGCTAGTCACAGCACATTTATCACCTTGACCCACTTAGAGAAAGTGGGAGAGAGGTTTTGTAACCTGAAATTTTCTCTTTTTTTTCTGTTTAAAACTATTTCAAGTTATTCCATCACAATGGTACTTCATGTGTTTTATGAAACCCTGTAAGTCTTCCGGTTAAATGTTGAGAGGCCATTTGTCTCACTAAATGCTGTAAAGCAAAGACTTTTCTTTGTTTAAGAGGGCTTCGTGACACAAGTGTCCAAGATCCTCAGGACATGTCGTCTGGCTGTGGTGACTTCCAAACACAGTGTTGCCATGAAACACCCCGGTGTTCTTAGCACTGTCAGGTTTTGTTTGTGATTCACCCACTTCCGGTATCTGTCAGTCTAGACTTCTGTCTTTCTTGGCATTGATGGAAGGAAGCCATTCTGTTCACACTGGTAGGACAGAATCAGCTGCTCAGTCTTAGTAGTGAACAGTGTTGTCTTCAGAGTCTGGTTCAATAGCCACCATCACTTTGCTTCAAGAATCTGCCCTTATTCAAACTCCAAAAAGGAAGCGGAAGACAGGAGCACCCTCAACTATGATCAACTTGCAAGTGTCACTACTAAAGTATGATACAAATGTGTGGAAAATATCATCTGCTTCATAAATACTTTACACTCCTCATTCTTCCTACCTGTTGTTACCAGAGGGCACATGTCTGAAGCAAAAACAAAATGACACAGGAAATATTTTCCAGGTGATGGGAGAGCCAGAGGGATATTTTTTAAAACTTTTTGTTGAGTCTCTGTGAGTTTCACATCATGCACCCCAGTCCCACTCACTTCCCCACCCTCTCACATATGCCCTCTGCCCTTGCAACCTCCCCACGAAATAAAAAAACACACAAACAAAAAATGAACAAAACAAAGCAAAGCATAGAAGACATCTCATGGTGGAAGCTGCAGTGTCACAGTGTACCCCACAGTATATCCCTCTGTCCACACATCCTCACTTGCAAATGTTCATTGCAACAAGCCACTGGTTTGGTTCAACGTCTCTGGCTTCTGCTACATCATCAATACTGGATCCTCACCAGGACTCCTCCCAGTTACCACATGTCACGGAAATCCTGCCCTTTCATTCACCCCGACTGTTCAAAGATGATGTCAATTTTGAGGTGAAGCAACTCAGGGCCCCAGATCTGGGCCTGGGTTGTATCTGAGCTGGTCAGTCCACTGGCTCTCCCTTATCTGCACCAGCAGGGCACTGCTAGAGCTATGCCACGCCCCTGCCACCAGGCCAGCTCCATTGTTCCACCCAGGTGTTGCTCAGGGTCCCTCTCTTCTGAGTGTCACAGCCATTGAGGGGCGGGGCCAGTTCTGCACAGCCCCTGGACATCCACGTTGTCCCAGGCCCAAAACAAGAATGTCCCCATGGTTTCTAGTGGTAATATGAGAATCACAATATTGCACTTGATAGTGAAAGAGACAAAGCTATGGGAAGAATTAGCGGTTGACATTATAGATGGCTGTTTCCAAGTCTACAGATTTCATTTGGTTTAAAATTTTAAGTGCCAGGAAAATTCAAATAAAGTTAAACTTTCATACTACTTTAAAATTTGACTTCTTTCATGTGTTTTAACCTTTTTTCCCCTACAGTCCAAATTTGACTGTTTGGATCCAGAAGCCCTAAACAGTCAAGTTAGTAAATATGCTAAATTTGTGACACAACTGGAGAAGGGCTTGCCACCCAACAATGTGGTACCGCAGCTCAAACAGAAGGTGGAGAAAATGAAAGAAAAGGTGAGATGGGTGGGATCATTACAACCAAACTCAGGGGCCATGAGTGGTTTTGCAGGAAAAGAAATAATAGTCAAATTTGTTGCAGTTTTTTTTAACTCTTTTATTTATGTTTCTTTTATCTTTTTCTCCCTAATCCACTCTAATTCCTTCCTAAACCCTAATCCCAGGTAGGAGAGAGAAAGGGTTGGTGGGAGAGGAGGTGCAGTTCTCTTAGCTGCTTCCTGCTGGTTAGGGTCGTCGGGTTCCTTGGAGCCAGTCCGGTCCTCATCTCAGGGGATCTCCAACTTCTTGTCTCACAACAGCAACAGGAGCAGCAAGGGGGAAGCTGGAGCAGTCTACTGCTGTGGACCATCTGAATCAGCCCCACATCCCATACCTGGGACCAAAACAAAAACACGTTTACCTCTACAACACTAACTTGTTTTACTCAACAACTAGCTCGGTTATGCGGTTGAGTATGGTGATTAGAAGAGACACTCGGGGTCTGTTGAAGCAATGCACGTAGGCAGCAGATGCACCTGTGCAAACAGCCACATCCATTTACGCTGTTCCTCTGCTCAGCTAGGGTTTGTCCAGGTGCATTTAGTCTGAAAAAGTCTGGGAAGCCAGGTCGTGGTGTAAAGGACTGGTCTAAAACTCTCTGTTGCAACCAAAGGATCAGGTGAGACTGGGCAAAAGGCACCTGCAGCCAACCCAGAAGTTACCCTTCCCGTACTGACCTGGCCTGCGGCCTGCTCTCCCTTTGCCGCTGAGACCTCCAGGAAGTTCACTGTAGTTGAGTTAAATGCTCTATTCCCAATATGTGTGCCATTTCTGAGTTTGACTCTGATCACTGTGGACTCTAGGCTGTGTTTTGTTGTGGCCATTTTGCTTTATTGTGTGCCTCTTTGGCCTTGTTGTTTGGTTGTTGTTGAAACCCAGACATCTACAGCAGTGATTACTCAGGTATGTGACTAGCATTCTTGGAGATGAGCATTAGTTTTCCTCTGTTTACCTTTTTGTTTGCCATGTTATATTAACTCCAGTTAGGAGTTCAGCTGGGTTTCAGATTTGATGTCGCTACAGTTTGCCTCCCTGCACCTTGGCCTTCTTATTTTCTAGTGATACCTACTATTTCTCATAGGAGCTGGGTTCCAGAGTATAAAAGGAACGTTTAGTCTCCTAATTCAATTGTTGTCTTGGAGGCTTACTGCCTCCTTTTGCCAACCTAAGCCTAGTCCTGGAAGCTTCTAGCCTCCACACAATATAATCTAGTCCTAGGATGTTTTAAGCCTCTGAGACTTACTGCTGAATAAGCTCACCCTTTCTTATTCTTACTGAGCTCTGGGCTGACTGGTTCAACTGAGCTGTTCTGGCTCTAAGTCCTCTTCCAGTTAACTTATTCACTCTGGCTTCTCTCTCAGCCCCTGAGTTGCTTTGCTTGGCCTCAAACTAACTCCAGCAATCTGCTCTAACCTCCTGGTTCCTTCTCATTCTCTGGCTTGTTCCATCTTTGCCTGTGTTCTTTTTCTGCAACTTGTTTCTCTATTACTGTCTTAGTAAAACTGTTCCTCTCTCCTCATTTCCTGTGTTGCTCCCATGAGAAACTTCCCTTTCCTCTCTCTTGAGAGAGAGTTGGGTGTATCCTATTCTGTCAAATCTTTCTCTGATTTGTCACTTTTTCTAGCACTTAATTAGATATCACTTTCAAACATGGGTGATTCCTTCTACAAACTAACTTTACCTTCATTGTTTGAGACTAAAGGGACTAAAGGCATATACTACCACACCTGGACCTAAGCTTTTTTCTGAAACTTGCTCTATACCAGTCTGGCCTTGAACTCAGATCTGCTTGCCTCTATCTCTTGGATTAAAGGCATGTTTGTATTCTAGCCAGATCACACAGACCTAGAAGGTCTTTGAAAGTGATCTCATGCCAGACAGCCATGTTCTGAAATAAAATTTCTCTCCACCACAGGCTGTTTTCACTTTCTTTCTCCTGTTCCTACTCCTTCCTTTTTGGTTGTGCCTGTGAGAATCCATGTCCTATAGATTTACATTCTATAATGCATTTTTTTTTTACATAACAAATGATTACCTATAGGGAGAGGCTCAGACCCCACGTATAGCTCCACTCAGTTGGGTGCTCCAATCTTGTCCTCTGTTCGGTCTTCAGAGAAACATGTGACTACCAGTTCCCCGAAATTTTGAAGTAGTTGGCTGCCCTGTAACTCAGTGTTCTCAGTCTCATTTGCATTTTTCTCCTGAATTTTCTTTACTATAGGTCTGAGTGGTGCTGTCTCCAACTCTCTATATTTGTGAGACCATGCACAATTTGTTTTTTATCAATTTCACCCATCAACTCCCTTCCAACTTCTCCCGCATCTCCGGCCAGCCACATTGCCTTCCCAACCTCATGCACTCTTTTTCAGATACTGAGTCTGATAAATGACACCAAGTATGTTCATGGGTCTAGGGTCACCCAGTGTATCCTGGATGTCCTACACAGGGCTGCATCCCTGAAGGACACTTAGGAAGCTGCTCGCAGACGCCAGCAGCTACCAATAGCTCCTCCGGTGGTGATCGTGAGCCCCTCCCCCATCCACGCTGGAGTGTTTATGGGCTTGATCAGAGGCAGGTCTTGTACATGTTGTCCTTCCTAACAATTAACAAAGCGGCCCCTCTGAAAATTTGTTTTCCAGCTTCCTGTGATCATTGACTTGAGGAACCCCACCCTGAAGGCTCGGCACTGGGCAGCCATTGAACAAACCGTCGACGCCCTCCTAGTGGACGTGGAAATTCCACTGACCTTAGAGAGGCTGTCTGAACTACATGTCTTTGAGTATGGTGAAGAAATCCAGGACATATCTGGACAGGCTTCTGGGGAAGCTGCCTTAGAGACGATTCTTAAGAAGGTAAGTGAAGGGAATGCCAGGCTGGCGGCACGTCCATTTCATTTCAGCACCACAGAAATGGAGCAAGGTAAGGGGGAGTCCTAGGGCTCATGGGCCAGCCAGCCTAGCCTACCTAGAAAGCTCCAGCCCAATGGAAGACCAAGGCAATAAGTAAGTAAGTAAATAACAAAACAGACACCTAAGAAATGACACCTGCAGCTGATCTGTAGTCTTTACATGCTTATGCACATATGTACACAAGTGCCTACATACACACACACACACACACACGTAAACACACTCTGTATATACACACAAACCATAGAATGTAAAGGTTTTCAGATTCAACACAAAGGTTACTAACAGCTGTGTTATCTGGGTGGAGTTTTCAACACAGTAAGCAGCAACCTCTGTTCTCTCCCTAGTGTTCTATATTCAGCCCAGCCCAGCCAGAACAGCAATAAGGTGGGCTGTGTGCTGGCCTTTGTAAAGAACTGCATGTCAGAGAAAAAAAAAACTACATTTCAGGAAAAAAAAATGTTATTTTCTAAACTCCCAGAGAAGGCTGGGTTAACTGCCCTAAACTACATCAAGAAGACTTTTCTATTTACAACACTCTCTCTTTAGCCTAATAATGCATGCCTACTGGGCAGGTGTCTAAACAAAAAGAACATTTTCCTTCCCCTAAAAGCGTAAGATGTACATTATCACCAGCCCTTTATCTGTATTAATAACAGTCAAATGAAACCAAGAAAGCCAGTGGCTTCCGACCAAGAAAAGGATCTTGAGACTTTCAAGGGCCATCGGGAGGAAAACGGGGTAGTTTCCCCTGGTTCGTTCCATGTGCCTTTATTGTGTGTCTAGACACACATGGGTTTAGCTATCCTAATGCTTGAACTGTTTCTAAGGTGGAAGATTCTTGGAAAACAACTGAATTTGTCATTCTTCCTCACCGTGACTCCAAGGACGTGTTTATCCTGGGTGGCACAGATGACATACAGGTATGTAATTGGGTTATGGGAATTACGGGTAAACCAAGCTTGGTGGCACATGCCTGTCATCTCAACTTTTGGGAAACAGTGACTGTAGGATTGCTGTAAGTTCAAGGCCAGCCTGGACTACATAACAAGTTCTAGGCTAGCCAGGAATAGAGTATAAGACCCTGCTTCAAAACAAAGAAGGAAAGAAGGCTAGGGAGGAAGGGGAGCAATTTTATGATGAGAGTACTGACTGTACCTCCTGCAGCTTCTGTGAAAGGTTAAGATGAGGAAGTGAGCTGTGAGTCACTAGGGAAAAACTAATTTGGAAAGCAAGATGTAAATAATTGACACAAATTCTTATTCACAAATATTTATTAAAAATAAAATGGTGGGTGTGTGTGTGTGTGTGTGTGTGTGTGATAGAAGCTTCAGGCCTATAGTTGAATTTATTAAAGCAAAGCGATCAATTATGTGTGAAGTGATAGGTGATAGGAGTCTTTCCTAAATCAGCCAGGACAACTGGACCTTAAAGATGGGAGCTAGAGAAGGGAGTAAGAGGAACTTCAAACTGTTTCAACACTGCAAAGTAACATGAATGAGCATTTCATGTCTGTTCAGTTAGATGAAATCTAACCTATGTGCTCAGATGATTGAGTCATTTAAAATCTAACGGTACATTTGTTTAGCAAAGGGATTGGATCCTGTGGCCCATCTTAAAGGCGAAACCGAAGCGTAAGGGTAGGATTCAAGGCAGAAATAGAAATGAAATTATTGGTAGAGAGGGCAAAATCAGATGTCACTCTATGAAGTAGGTGGGCAAGGCAAGTTAAGGACAAGAATCAGGAGCCCAGAGGCACCAGGTGATGGGGCTGCAAAGACCAACTCAGTTTCCCAGACTAGCACATTTTTTTTTTTTAACTTCACATGTTTTATGAGGGATGTTGTTGTTTAAGAGGAGCAATAGGAAGGAAGGTAGTGTGACTACTTCCTGTGTGAATTCAGCTTCATCTTCCTGGAAATGATTGAAGGGAAATTAATTCCTTGAACAGAGTTTGCAAGCATGGGGCACTTTGAGATGAAAGCCTGCCTGGGTAACTAAACTCCCCAGTAAGGAGATGCAGGTTGCCTGATATTGAGGGCAAAAGGAGAACATTAAGCAGTGCAAACACTGTGCCATTAATGAGTACAGGACTGGGGTTTAGATGGCTCAGTCAGTAAAACACTTGCCATGCAAGCATGGAGACTTGGACGCCCGTGTGAAAAGCTTGGGTGGAGCAGGGAGATGATGTGTGCTTACGCTCCTAGCACTAAGGACGCAGTACAGGTGGATATCTGGGGCTCACTGGCCAGCCAGTCTAGTCTAATCAGGGAGTCTGGGGTCCTAGTGAGAGACCCTGTCTCAAAAAACAAAGCGTATGGCTCCTGAGGAACATCATTCTAGGCTGACCTCTGGCCTCCACATGCATGTGTATTCGTGAGCATGCACACAAGTGCACGGACACAAACGCACACAAACATACACACACCATAGACGGTTGTAAGCACAGTTAAGGTTCAACCTTGGCAGTGCCTGGGTAGGAAGCAGTAGGGGGGGCTACGTTATTCATTCACATTGTCCTTAAACGGACTTTCAGAATCTGAAACCCCCTGAGCTCAAGGACTGTGTCTTGGCTCTTTCTCCCTGAAGGTCCTTCTTGATGACAGCACCATCAACATTGCAACCATCGCCTCTTCTCGGTACGTGGGTCCCCTCAAGGCTCGAGTGGATGACTGGCAGAAACAGCTTTCCTTATTTAATCAAACACTGGTAAGTCAGGGCAAATTTCAACTCTGGGACTCTGAACTGGAGAGCCACAGGCCCTTGGAAATCTTGGTTCTGTGGGGCTAGAAATGTAGCTCAGCAGTAGACAGCCTGACGAGCATGTACAAAGTCCTGGGTTTACTCCCCGACACCATTATTTATTTATTTATTTTTTTATTTATTTATTTATTTATTTATTTATTTATTTATATGTGTGTCCTGCTGTTTTAATATTATATGATTTAGAAATGGAAGATTTAATTTTCTTTTTTCCCTTTTCTTTTTTAAAATTTTTATTTATTTATTTATTACAATTTATTCACAGCTCCCTCCCACATCTTCTCCCAGTCCTACCCACCCCCCTCTTTCTCCCCCTATGCCCCTTCCCTAGTCCACTGACAAGGAGGTCCTCCTCCCCTTCCATCTGACCCTAGCTTATCAGGTCTCATCAGGACTGGCTGCATTGTCCTCTTCTGTGGCCTGGTAAGGCTGCTTCCCCCAGGGGGAGGTAAATAAAGAGCCAGCCACTGAGTTCATGTCAGAGACAGTCCCTGCTCCCCTTACTAGGGACCCCACTTGGAGACTGAGCAGCCTATGGTTTCCTTTGAACGGGGGTGGGGGAGGATTTAATTGTCAACGTTTTATGTTCAGAATGAAAGGAAGGAAAGCACACATGCATTTGACTTGTTTATATCATTAGGCAGCCTATTGCCACTTTTATCATCATTGTTAAATTATTTTCATATGAGACAAAATACCACAAAATTAGAGTTTTCATTTGTTAGTTATTATAATTGTTATTATAATTGTTACTTAATATAATACATCTGGAGTCTCATAGTTTTATGGGTCAAGAAGTGAGACCGGCTTGTACTGGATTCCTCTGCTCAGGAGATCCCAAGCCATGATATACCAAAGATATCATGATCTGCGTAATTCCTCATTGAGACTCTCTCGCTGGGAGGACCTAGGTTCTGCTTATTTATTTATTGTGTGTTTATTATTTGGGAGTCGTCATGAACTTGTTTCCCCCCCCACACCCTTTAGATTTCTGCCAGAAAGCATATGGCCTCCCAACACAATGATTCCTCTACACAGTCTAAGCTCGTTTCAGCGGATCTCACTGGCTTTCCACACAGCTGACTCATCATTATCTTCAGTGGAAAGTGGGGTGGAACCAGGCTGGACTGAATCTTGGGCTCTTTTAGGATATTTTATTTCAAAGGATGGATGAAGAGACATAAATAGGTCGCAAGGGAAAGATGTAGTGATTCCCAAGGCCATAATTTCCTGTGGATATCAGTTTGGAAATTCCACCGATAGTCCCCATGTTTTTCTCCAGGAAGAGTGGCTGAACTGTCAGAGAAACTGGCTCTACCTAGAAAGCATCTTTAATGCCCCAGACATTCAGAGGCAGCTGCCTGCAGAAGCCAAGATGTTCCTTCAGGTGGATAAGTCATGGAAGGAAATCATGAGGAAGGTGAATCGGTTGCCTAACGCACTTCGGGCCGCTACCCAGCCAGGTAGGCACTTCAGAACAAACAAACAGAATAAGCAGTCTCCCTGGTCACGACATCTGTGACACCCCTAAAAACCAAACAGCCGTGTACATCCAGCACTTGATTGGCACATCCAGGACTTTCTAATTACCGGCTTATGGTTCAACCTGTGATTTTAGAACACACATTAAATTCTATTCAGATTCTTCCCTCAGAGATACAATCACAAAAAATTTTTCATAGTTTTAACTCATTCATTAGCATGAATTAAAAATATTACCACCTATTGCAATTCAAGTAACAAAGTTGAAATGATTTTAAAGGTTTTTTCCAGCATATATTAGTTATACATAATAATGAATTAAGGCAAGGCATTCCATGCACGTGTGTTGTGTATTTGATCATCTTCAGTGCCATTACCCTCTCTTGTCCCCCTCCCACTCCTGCCCTTCTCCCTCTCTTTCCATTCCCATGTCTTTTTGTATGTGTGAACGGATGAGTTTCCCGTTATTTACAGGATCATGGGTGCCTAAGAAAATATCACATCCACCCCAACCCCAACGTCAAGGTTGAAATGCTTTAACAGGTTCTGTTTCTGTGCACATGGCAGCCTGTTTCTGGAGTGTACATATATCCACTCAGGTTTACACTTTACACTGCCGAAGCCTCAGGCAGCTTGCTGGTCAGGTCGCTAAGGGCAGCAGGGGACTCTGTCCCTGCCTAGCAAGGGCAACTTTGGGGGCTGTGTTCTTTGCCAAAGAAAAGGAAAACTATGGAATGATAAAAATCAAACACCCCAAGGGTCTTAGGGCTGACAGAGAGAGGGCGCTCGCCTTCATTGGCTCACAGCTGTCCTCCAGCTGGCAACAGCACCTCCCCAGTGCCCGCCCCTCTGCTGCTTTTTCTCTCCTCTCTTGTAAGTGTTCTCATAATTCTGTCTAACTGACCAGATGATCTAGAACAACCTCCCACACTATAACCCTTCACGTAGTCACAGCTGCAAAGTTCCCGTTTGCATACAAACCAAACAGATCTGTAGGTAAGGGATAGGGCATCCACGTCTCTGGGGTGGGGCTACCACCCTGCCTTTCACAGCCCTCCCACCGCCGTATTCAAACCTTTAGTGCACAGATGTAGTGACATTTGATTACAGAGGGATGGCCCAGTCCCCAGCAGGCTTGTTATAATAGACACTTAAAGTTATGAATCTTTGGTAATTTCATAAATGAAGAGTGCATCCTCTCCTCAGTCTCCTCAACTTCTCCCCAGACCAGCCTTCCCTTCTTTCTCCCCTTCCTTGCCCCCCCCTTTGCCTCCTCCTCCTTCTATAACCTTCTGGGTTCATTTAGTGCTGGGTTCATTTATGTGAAGGTATAGGACATGTATCAACTGATGAATGGAAAACAGGTCTTTTGAAATTTAAAAAAAAAAAAAAAAAGAATGATTCCAAAATACATCTGGCCTTAAAGACTTCAAACAAAGAAGTGTAGACATGTAATAAATCCGTTTCCAGATGATGGCAAAACCTTGAAGAAAAATAAAATAGGTTAAAGAAGTAGCTGGGGGACATGTGTGTGTGTGCGCGCGCACGCATTCAAGCCCACATGTATGTGTTCATGTATGTATGTATATGTGTGCATGTTGTGCTTATATGTATATCTGTGTATAAGTGTGTTTATGTGGGCACGTGCATGTATTTATGCATGTGTGTAGGTATATGCATGTGTATGTGTGTGGTTTGTGTGTTCATGTGTGTATGTATACGTACATGTGTTCATATGTGTATGACCATACACATGTACATGTATATTGTGTGAGTGTGTACATGTATGTGTGTGTATATATATATATGTGTATATATATATGTATATATATGTAGGTAGGTATGTGTGCATGTGTACATGCATGTTTATGTGTATGTATGTGTGTGTATGTATGTGTGTCTGTATTTATGTGTGTGTATATGTGTGTTCATGCGTGTATGTGTGTGCATGTATATGTGTGTTCATGTATGTATATGTGTATGCATGTGTTTGTATGTGAATGTGTGTATGTGTATATTTGTGTGTTTCCGGACTTTTCAATAAAATGGCTCTTGAGCAGAAACTTGCAGAAAAGAGTGGGTGAAAGTATGTGTGGCTCAGAATGAGAATGGTTGAAGTCAGAGAGAAGAACAAAGAACAATGTGAGGCTCTGAGGCAAGAGCACACTTAAGAGTGTGCAGCCGTCGTTATGGAGTCCCACATGAGCTAGCGTGCTTGGGGACTGGATGAGGCCGGGGGACCAGTGCATGGAAGTGCTGACTGGCCACTAGATGGAGGTGTTGACCACGTATGGCCTTAGAAGTCAGGGTACAGAACTGGGATTTGATTCTTGGTCAGGTAGGAGAGCAGGAACTGTGATTAGCATCCAAAGTTCAAAGATGCAGAGGTACGGAGGCTGCTGCCTAAGGAGCTACAGTTTAATAATAATTAATAATGACGAAAAATGCCTTTAGCACTTTACCGTGACAGAAAAGACGCAAGAAGCTGATGAAGTAGGAAGGCTCTAGACACTGGCTCCAGGTGCCTTTTGTTTGTGCACTCACAGCACCTAAAGGCAGAGGATGCTGGCCAAAACTATTTTAAATTAAAAATACTGTTCTAGTGAGGTAACTATTAATATATTACAATTAAGAATAATAATTCTTGAGATGGGGAGACGTTTTAGCAGTTAAAGCAATGGCCACACAATAAGAAGACTAGAGTTCAGATTCCCAGAACTTGCACAGGCACAGGGGGATGGATGTAGCTCATGTTTGTCCATCCCTGGAAAAAATTACAAAACCTGAAGGCAGAGATGGGTGATACCAAGAGAAGCTGAGCAAGACTAGCTGGGAAACTCTAGGTTTGGACAAGAGACCATGCCTCAGAAGAATAGTTGCATAGTCACCCTCCCCCCTCACACACACATGCTACCTCAGACATGCGAACATGTATACATAACTCTTACACATGTACCACATATACATATATACATAAAAAGGGGATTTAAAAAAAAGAGCTAAGCCTCTTAGCCAATACTCCCATTTTATTATTCATCATTCCAACAAACAAAACAAGGGCCTTATTTAGCATGTTAATATCTTTTACTTTCATCTAAACTTTTATTCTCTATTTTAATATAACTTGGCCAACTTTTCTTTTTAACGAATAGGGCTTCTGGAGACCTTTCAAAACAATAATGCATTACTTGACCAAATTCAGAAGTGTCTGGAGGCATATTTAGAGTCAAAGAGAGTTATCTTCCCAAGGTAAGTTTAAAAAAGCAACCTGAGCTGTTTTGTTGTAGACTGTAGGTCAGCTGGAGATGAAAATAACATCCTGTCACAGCAGAGAACTGGAGAGGAGACTTGTTGTTGGGCAAATACTGAGCTCTCAGAGAGGAGAGCAAAGCTCACTCTGCTGGAGGTACAGGGAACCCACAGAACACCCCTCCCCCTGTCCCCTTCCCTCAGCCCTGCAGCCTCTCCAGCTTTCACTCTCCTATTCTCTGCATTTAATGGGGGCCCTAGAGTCTTCACCCCTCTCACCATGAGTAGGTCCCCAAGAGGCCTGAGCACTCACTTTACAGTGTTGACATCATATAGAAGTCTAGAGCTTCAGATCAAACCGAGACTGAAATATTTGATTTTTAATGCACACTTGCATTACTTGGGCCTAAGTTTGGTCAAGATCAGAAGAACTTATTCTTTGCCCATTTTGCTTAAAATGCTGTGGAAACACACACAAGATAGTTTATTTCTACGTAAGTATGGCCACGGTAAGGTTGGAAATGGTATGTTGGCAGAACCATACTGTCACTCATGCTGCCTTTTGGTCACAGGATCCAGTAACGGCCCCATGGCCACCCACCTGTCTATTAGCTCTCTATGTGCTGTATGACATATCATCACCAAAGAAGCTCAAGCCAAGTAAGGCCGACAGGCAAAAGAGACCAAGACCTAAAAGTTATTAATACTTCTCAGAAAAACCCTTTCTATTCTAGCAACTGGGCCTAGGTGTTTGAGATACATCATCATTTACCTTTACAAGAACTTTTAGAGACATTTGGCCTTGCCAAACTGCAAAGCATGTGTGATTAAAGGCCCAGGATGCCAGTGCCCAGCAGCAGGTGTGGTAGGACCTTATCTTCTATGTCTACCCAAGGCTGAGCGTCTATGTGAAGTCATGTGTTACATTAAGTGTCTCTTTAACTTGGAAGGTTTTACTTCCTGTCAAATGATGAGCTCCTGGAGATTTTGGCCCAGACACGAAATCCGCAAGCCGTGCAGCCTCATCTCAGGAAATGCTTCGACTCCATTTCAAAACTCGAGTTTGCCCTCATGCCTCCTACAGAAGGGAAAATTCCTGGCGTTGATACCGAACCAGAAAAGGTCTTCACCAATGACATTTTGGCAATGCTGTCACCTGAGGGAGAGCGGGTAAGGTGCTTTGGCTTAATAGTTCCTTGCGGATAAACATGATCACACGTCTGGGACTGGGGTAGAAGCAGCTCATTCTCATCCTAGGCTTGCCAGAGACTCTGCTAGCCCAGCAGTTCAAGAATAGCTGAGCTAAAACTCTTATGCTTAAAGAGCTGGAGGCCTAATGGAGAAACTGGGGAGCACATAGGAGCTGTCATGATACTTGCGGTGCTCTGGTTGGGGAATGAAGTGCAGAGAAGCAATCACGCTTCAGCCAGCTCAGCAAAGAGGAACCTTGGCTGGCCAAGAGTGCCAGGCCTTTGCCAGGCCACCCGCATCAAGACCTGTCACCCTCTGACCGCTTCCACAAGATAGCATGAGTGATAGCACCCTACTAGCTGGGTGACAGGGACTTTCAGTGCATGGATGACTTCATGGAGCACCAGGGAGCGCTCTGTGAGAGTTGGTTACTTCAGCTCCTTCAGTGCTGTGGAGCACCTGCATCCAGAGAACACCCACTGAGGAAATCGAGGTATCAACAGGTGACTGCACAGAGGACACACCTATACATGCACCCATACACATACACATGCACACACACAGACACACACACACATATCGATGCACACATGCAGACACACATACATGTACACAGGCAGACACACATACATGCACACAGGCAGACACACATACATGTACATGCACACAGGCAGACACACATACA